TGACGAGCGAACAACTCACACCCATACCCATAGGAGGGTCGAAAGGAGGGGAGCTGGCTATGGGTATGGGTGCGAGGTGTCGGACCCTGGGGGAAGCTCCCGTTCGAGCGGGGACCCCCATCCGACTACACGCACCCATAGCCCCCTCCGTCCCCCCTATGGGTATGGGTGCGTGTTGTTCGATCGCCAAAGGTGGCTCGGCTGCCGGCGTCGCGGGTGGCCAGCACGGACGTGCGCCGGCCGCCGTGCGTGCGGGCGCCCCGCGGCCCTTCCGGGGGGAGACTCGGGTGCCACGCTGCTGGGCCAGGGTCATGGCGGAGCTCCCGTCGTCCCCCTCCTCCTGCGCCCCCCTCCTCTCGTCCTCCTGCCGGTCCTTGATCCTTGCCCATCCTCCTCCACATCATCCGCATTCCTCCTCCTCCTCCTCCTCCTCCTCCTGCTCCTCCTCCTCCTGAAACCCCTACCCGCCGTCGCCAGTTGCACCCGTCCCGTCTGTACGTCGTACACCGCGACGTCCGGGGAGATGCCGCTCGCGAGCAGGAAGTCATCCTCACTTCCAGACCACTTGAAGCGAGCTTGGGCTATCCCCGAACCCCGCTGTCTCTCTTGCTCTCAGCCGTGCGTCAACTGATTTGATCCTTCCTCCCCCCATCCCTCTCTCTCTCTCTGCACAGCCGTCTGTCAGCTGCTTCCTGCTTCCTCCCCCCCGTCCCCCCGCTCTTCCTGCCGCTGCTGCTGCTGCAAAGCCTGCTGCGTGCTCCCGCCAGGGGGGGGATCGAAGAACGACTGCGGCGACTCCTGGGATCTGGCTGGCATCAGTCTTCAGATTGGGAGGGATTGGGCAATCCTGAGCAGGCGCTCCACATCGAGGGAGCTTGCACCCCAGAAATGCCGCCGAGTGGACGAGCTTGGCCCGAACTATTTCCCCGAATCCCCTACCTCCACTTTTGCCAGCCCACTGCGCCCCAACGAGTCAGAACGGCCCGCGCGTCGCAGTGACGCTCGGCACCACACGTTGCAGCCCCCAACAGTGACTGGCGTTGGAGGCTTCCCACGGTGCTCAGACAGCGCTCTTCGCACAATGTGCGCTGTAGAAGAATCTGAGCCAAAAACTGATGTGAAACTATAAGCGCCTCCCTGTAGAGCATGAGCTCGACCACAAGAAACCTTCCACGAGAAACCCAACCCTGAGACCCCAAGACATTCATTGATTTTTGGTGTGGAAGCGTCACGCTTTCCATAGCAAAACGATCGAAACCCAAGAAACCCAGGGCACCCTGGAGGCAAGCAGGGTAGTTCTTGGCATGGGTCTCCACTGTAACCCCTTCCCATGCAAATCCCGCGCAGGGCAGCGGCGTTGCCCGCGCGTGCCTCCCGCCCCGACATCCCCCCCCCAAGAGGAAAAGGCAAGCGGAGACAAAAAGGCACATTCGTGCAAAGACAAGGGGCTTCGTGGCGGGCGTCGGAGAGACGTGCAGAGGTCGAGCGAGTGAGCGAGCTTGTCGGAGGCAGAGGTAGAGGTCTGTACGGCAAGTTCGTGTCGTGCCGACCCCAGCGTTGGTTTTTGACACCGCAGGGATCGTTCAACCTTGAACGATCGGCCGCTGCCGCAACGTCCGATCGTTCAACATCGATCGATTCTGGGTCGCCGGCGGCGTTCAACCTTGAACGCCCGCGCTGGGGTCGCCGCTGGTCGACACGACGCAAACCTACCGTAGGGTGTAAAAGAAAGAGCGAGTGAGTGAACGAGCTTGTCGGAAGCAGAGGTAGAGGTCTGTTGGGTGTACAAGAAGAGCTCAAGTACTGGTCCAAATGGCTAGCGACATGCATCCGGGAGGGAGGGAGAAGGGAGGGCGAGAGAGGGAGAAAGAGATAGTGAGAGAGAGAGAGAACAACAAAAACAATAATGGGCATATATAAAGAGAACCATGTAGCAAGAGAGAGAGAGAGAGTCAGAGAAAGCGCGAGAAAGAGAGGGATAGTGAGGTATAGGGATAGAAGGATTGAAAGAGAGAGAGAGAGAGAGAGAAAGACGTTGTATCCGCGGGCGGCCGTCCGTACAGTTGGCGCTGAGGGAGGACAGCTGCGGGAACTCCTGCGGTCCCTGGCCTTCCCCCAATTGCGACGACGACGTGGACAGGAACGGAATCGCCGACGACTACAAAGACGACGCTGACGACTACAACGACGACGTTGACGACGTTGACGACGACGACCCACGGCCGACGTTCCCTGGAGGGTCCCCGAGTAAGACGGTGGCGGGACGAATGCGAGCTTGGATCGAGAAGGACCGGGAACGTGTTAGACCTGGCAAAACCGCAAGACGTATCGGGCACCGCGGCCGGTCTCAGAGCGCCCCAGAACGCCATGAGAGTACCGCAAAACGCTGTGGGGCGATTTTGAGGGGCAGCGATAGGGGGGACTGGATGAGGGGGGAGCACCGACCGGAAGTGGCGATGCATTAGAGCCTCCTGGATGGGGTCCGAATAGAAAGGGTCAGATGATCACGCCGCATCGGCGATGCATCGCCGATGCATCCGTGATGCATTGGCGACGTCGGCGATGCATCGGCGACGCAAGCGCGGAGAACATCGGGCTCCACATCGATCCGCTTCGGCGATGCAACGGCGATGAGGCGCGATCCCCCGACCCCACCTACTCGGACCCCATCTGGGAGGCCTAGACCGTTTCCTTGAAGATTCCTATCTTTCACGGCGATCCAGGGGGGGGAACGGAGGGCCGCGCGGAGAAGTAGGAGGAGGACGACGAGGGGGAGGGAGGGAACGGAGGGCCGCCGGCGAGAGAGAGAGAGAGGGGGATGGGGGAGGGAGAGGGGGAGGAGGAGGAGGAAGAGGAGGAGGAGGAGGAGGAGGAGGAGGAGGAGGAGGAGGGCTCCGTAGCCATTTTGGCTCAAGTCCGTAGCGTTTCGCTCTGGACTTGGCAAGTGGCCTGGGGGGGATTGCGGCCCCCGCTGCTTTCCCAGGCGTTCGCCCGCCTGGCACGTTTTCAGCTACGTTCTGGCTACAGAACTACCACTTTCACAGCTGCACTTCTTGGCTCTCGCGATGGTGGTATGCTCCTTGGGTCAAGTCGCAGGTTGAAGAGGAGGGATGGTCCACAGCGAAAGGGCGCCGCCGTGGCCAGGCTCAAAGTCTCGAGCTTTGCCTGCCCGTCCTGCGGCTGCAAGAAGAGCAGCGCCAACGCCACGCATTGCAAGCACTGCGCTCATCCTCTTCCTCAGCTTTCTCATGCTGCTGTGCCTCCTGCAGGTGGTCGCTGGGCCTCGTCTGGTCCCCCAGGTTACTGGTACGGGAATGGCCACAGCTTCAAGGGCCACGTCTACCAGGGCTTTGGAGGCAAAGGAGGTGCTCGAGGGGCCTGTGGAAAAGGCAAAGGGAAACGCTACTATGGTGGCGACCCGTCGATGTGGGATGTGTTGGCCCGTCAAGATGATTCACGCGCTGGTGGCGCTGGAGGAGGCGCCCCGCCACTTCCTGTGGGACCAGTACCTACCATCACAGCGTCGGAAGCCAAGGCCCTGGGTGAGTCGCTCCAGAAGGCGGGGGATGTCGGAGCGGCCACCAAGTACTTGGGCATGGCTAAACATCTGGAGGCAGTTGCCAAGCCTGCGGTTATCTCGGACCATGTTCGGATGCAACAGGCTCATTCCACTGTGCGCAAGCTGGAGAAGCAGACGGAGCAGACGCTGGGCCGAGTCACTCGCCTTCGGGAACAACTTATGGAAGCGGAAGTCTCTTTGCGATCGCTTCGAGACCAGGTTGACCGAGCGGACTTGGATTACAAGCAGTCTCTGGCGGCCTTGCAAGGGCCGTCGCAGCAGTCCGAGGTGCGGACTCAGTCGATGTCCTTCAAGCTCGAGGAGCTGGTGGCGGGCACTGTGGATTTCTCCAAGCTCATCGACTGCAGCCACATGCTGGAGGATCTCACTACGGACAACGACGTGGATGCATCGGACCTTGAGCAGTTCCAGAAGAGGAAGGATGACTTGTCTTCAGGGGTCACCAAGCTGGCCAGAGACCTCTTCGCCCAGGTCGCGGCGCATGCCAAGGCACTTCGCGAACAACACGAAGCTCATCGACTACGTATGGTGGCGAAGAAGCGGAAGACTGCTGAAGGTGAAGTTGTTGGAGGTTCTCCTGCTGACGCAGCTGCTGCGGCTGGAGGCGGAGCTGGGGCGTCTTCTGAAGGTGCCCAAGCCACTGCGCCCGCTGCGGCGACGGCTGAGGCTGGTCAGGCTTCAGCTGCACCGCAAGAGGACATTCGAGCCAAGGTCGACCAGGCTCTCAATGACTCTGAGCCCCCTGCTACGCCTTAGAGGTGGCGGGGGGGCAGGAATCTGAGGGCGGGGGCCCAGGTTTGAAACCCTCCTGGGATCTTTGTATTTTTGTTTTGCCTCGAGAGTCTGTGATAGGCTCCAGGTCTCAGGCCTCTGGGGTTCGTCTCTCCAAGCGTTCACGGCAGATGTTTGGGATTCGAGCCATCGGGGGCTCGTTCGACGCCCCGCTCACCTGTGCTGAAATTCGGGTGCCCCCAGATGTCCCAGGAGCCTCTCGCATCTCCTCTCTGCCTCTGCCTGGTGCGGTCGGGAAGCAGTACTGCGTGAAGGCTGGTGGAGCTCAGCTTGAAGGTTCCCCAGTCGCACGATTGCCGCAATCCGATGCCCTTTTTCCTGGTGCTAGCTCCGCCAGGGCCTGGTCCTGTATGAGCTCTGTTGCTGTCGGCGACGGT